ACTGAACATATAATTTTTTTACGCCTGTCTGTTAGAGGATTTCAAGACGAATTCGGCACATGTAAGGACATGGCATTTTTTTCATCCGGTTCGAAACAAAATTAAAAAACTTTGTATCACAAGGAGAATCACAACTACGCCGTATTTACGCATCCAATGTTGTTGATAAGTCAAAATTTACCAATCTTAATTTTAGCGATGTTCAAAATGATGTCCACGAGCTGCAATGCACTTGCGTAGACGGTGAACAAAAGATTGTTTTGCATTCTTTATGGCCTCTACACTGATGGCGACTGAAGACGACAGAATGAATGCGTATAACGGCGTAGCTGTCATTCTCCTTGTGATACAAAGTTTTTTAATTTTGTTTCGAACCGGATGAAAAAAATGCCATGTCCTTACATGTGCCGAATTCGTCTTGAAATCCTCTAACAGACAGGCGTAAAAAAATTATATGTTCAGTTACAAAAAATTCAAGGTAACCTTGAGAAAACATTTAAAAAAAAAATGACCAGTAATTTTTCACTATCACGTTAAAGCTCTCTTGAAACCATATATGTTCAGTTGCCAAAAATTCAAGGTACCCTTGAAAAAACATTTAAAAAAAGAGTTGACCAGTAATTTTTCACTATCACGTTAAAGCTCTCTTGAAACCATGTAAAAGCTGATAAAAACATTTTTGATCGGACTGCTAATAACAAAGTAATCTCTACTGATCACGATTCGTGATTCACCCTGTATATTAAGGTGGTCCTTATTTGACGAAATCTTTATGGTTCGCGCCCGAAAAGTCTTCCATTTAAAATTAAAAAAAGTGTGTAAAAATTAAACAGGATCGGATAACATTTACCCGTGGCGCACTCGAAGATTAACATTGGTTTTAAATGGGGAAAAACAAACTTTTTAGTCTTTTCTATATAATTAAACGGGAAAAAGTATTAAAAATTTGTGGTTTACACCATCGTTACTGTCACTCTTTATAAATAAAATAAGCCTAATTAAACCGACAAAAATTATATCGCAACTTAGTTACAGGACTTTTAATATACGAAGAATTAAGAAAAATCATCATTTAGCATGATCTTGTCGATACATCATCTCGAAGCAACATATATACGAACAAATATAATACGAATTATTGATGAATATAATATTAATATTATTATTATTGGTAAAATGCGAAAAATCTTATTGATCGATGTCCCGTGTAATTTGTTCTATCTTGTATATAAAAATCTCGTGTCACGGTGTTTGTGGTCGCACTCCTACGAAACGGCTCGACCGATTTTTATGAAATTTTGTATGTATATTTGGTAGGTATGAGAATAGATCGTAAAGTATATTTCATACGGCTAGGTCATTAGGGTGTCCCTATCCAGAAAAATGGGGTGTATTTTTTTTGACAAAAATTTTTTTGTGTATTTTTTTTTATTTGGCATCAGAAAATACCTATAACTCCAAATTTTCACACTCCTACCCCCACCCTTCCATTTCTTAATACGCGATAATCTTATACGCGATTTTAGTATTTTTTTTATGAACAATATCGAAATAATTTAACCGTCGTTCGTATTTCAAACAGAACGAAATTATTTATGTTGTTGAACGATAGATGGCGCCACGTCCGCCTCATCAAACTTTCATCCACGCATGCGTCTCGCACGCACGTCATTTTGACATTTCATCATGAAATGTCAATTTTGATTTATAAGCAATATATACGTGTTTTATGATTGTAAAAAGGTTGGTAAAATACTAAAAGAACAATTACATTATCGGTATACCGTTTTTCATCAGTAAGTAAAACAATTTTGTGTATTTGTGTGTGTATTGTAAGGGGTTGGGAGGGGTGAAGCGAAGGAACACCGAGAGTTAAAAAAAGACGAAGGTTTATTCTTAAATCTAAATGTTATAAACGAGAAGATCTTATTCTAGTCGCGTGCCTTAACCTATGGGGGTGTGTGGAAGAGAAATGGGGTGTCGGGGTGTGGGGTAAGGTTCGTCTGTCCGTCGTGTTCGTTGCGGCCGTTAAATAGAGTGTACGTACTTTTGTTCGCCGTGGCGTGTCCTCGTGGTCCGTTTCTCCGGCTCGTCCTCTCTCTCTCTCTCTCTCTCTCTCTCTCTCTCTCTCTCTCTTCTCGTCTCCCATTCTCTCTCTCTCTCTCTTCTTTGTTCACGCCACTCTCGTCTCTTGTGCACTTTCCGCTTCGCTCTCTGCCTTTTGTCTCACTCTCTCTCTCTTCTCGATCGTTCCTCTCTTTGCTAGTTCCACGCGCCGGACGTCTTCGCTACTTGCACCAGGCCTAATGCGTGGTCCCCTTGCGCTCGCGTATCTCCGTCACCACTCGGCTGGGTTCGGGCCGTTAAATAGAGTGTACGTACTTGTGTTCGCCGTGGCGTGTCCTCGTGGTCCGTTTCTCCGGCTCGTCCTCTCGCCTCGTCACTCGTTCTCTCTTTCTCTCTCTCTCTCTCTCTCTCTCTCTCTCTCCCCCCCTCTCTCTCTCTCCTCTCGTCTCCCAGTCTCTCTCTCTCTCTTCTTTGTTCACGCCACTCTCGTCTCTTGTGCACTTTCCGCTTCGCTCTCTGCCTTTTGTCTCACTCTCTCTCTCTTCTCGATCGTTCCTCTCTTTGCTAGTTCCACGCGTCGGACGTCCTCGCTACTTGCACCAGGCTTAATGCGCGGTGCCCGGCCGCTCGCGCATCTCCGTCGCCACTCGGCTGGGTTCGGGAGATTCCGCGGCGGCTCGGGGCCTTGCGCTCAGGTTGTGGCGAAGCGAGCGCCTCGTCACAGTATATATTACAGTGAACAATGCCAGCAAGACGCAAGGGAACCCATTTAGGCTGTCAAACGAATAAAGCAACAAATATGCGAAATAGTAGAGCAGAAAGAACAGGCGAACAAATCCAACAAGATAACGAAAATATGCGTGTGAGCATGTCGCAATTGCGTGCATCTCAATCACAAGAGGCACGAGTTGAACGAAATCAACAACGACAATTTGAACGGAGACAATCGCGCCGGTTCGTAGTTAACACACGCAGAGCAAATGACCGACAACGCCAACAAGTACATTGAACGGCTTGCTCATCGGCACGGATGCAGATTCAAACCTGTTCCTGAAGTCCATTCGCACATTCAACTCATGCTTCCAAATGACTTCGTTCGGAGCAACAGAAATAGTTCACAATACTGCAGCAAGTGGTCAACAATACAATTCAACATTCAAAATCAAAGGCCAAGTGTACCACAAATTAGGCTCATTGCTGCCAATGCTAAACGAACCACATCAATTTTTACAAATCTACTTTATGGGAATACATTTGGGCACACCATGTTTTTCCCACGGACAATTATACGTGGCATGTTCTCGCGTGGATAAACCATCGAGCTTATTTGTGTTGGCTAAAGACGGACTGAAAAAAAATATGGTACACTTAATTGCTCTTCGAAATTAATATTGATTTTCTTTATTTCATTTTCCTACTTTAGGATAAAAAATATATTACTTTTTTTCACTTTACATTTAACTTTTAAAAGATCAAACAATGAATATGTAAGTTGCGTTAATGAAATACATTGAATTGAGAAAATGAATGGTTGGTGTTTTTTTGTTTTTATCGGCGGTCATCGTCTACAGTGCTCAATTCCTCTTTTTGTCATAGATCCCATTCCCACACACTTACAATACATTCGTTTTTTTTCATTTAACAACCAAAATATTCACTAGAAATAATTTATATGGCAGAATAACGTTCGCCTGGTCGGCTAGTAATTATATATTTTGATTGGAATATACTACACCAACTTAAACGCAACGGTATATAATAAAACAGAGAACTATAAAATAACCGGCATATTATATTCTAGAAGATTCGTAGATAACAATAATTCCAAAATGAGATATAAAAAAGGTACTCACACATAGCCTATTCACTAGACGCATGACCCATACCATATACAGTCTATTCTTATTGGCGAATCGGAAATTTCAGAGTCGGGAAGACAATATGTGTCTCCAAGTCGTCAAATAGCGTTATGCATCGATTCCAGGTGAGGATTTGTAGATTTAGCGCCAGCGATTAATTCATCAAATTTTCTCAAATGAATGAGATGGTGAAAATCTTCAATTGGTATTGCTGATGAACAGATATCACAAAAGAGCCCTGACGCCTGTGTAGGATATACAAATTACCGTTAGGAACTACTTTTAACTAAGTATTTATAAGCGCACGAAAAATACCTGTGTCTTCTCCAGCGGTTGTTAGACGAAAGGGACGAGTCCGCTTAACGCTGTGACACTCAAGCGATTCGCTTATTAAATTCGCTTATTAACTGTTAACGTACTAGCGAGTGCCTAGCTTGGGCCTCGATAGGATTCCATGGTAAGGAAAGAGCAAATCGCGATGTAGTTTAGTGATTGGATGTACTGGTGCACGCTAGGTCTAGCTAGATTTCCATTATTAGGGATGCCTAGTCTCAGCCCGGCTGAGCACTTTTCTTTAGTCGGAAAACGACTACCACATTTTCACTAGGGAATTATTATAAATCTTATATAGACATTTTTTCTTATATGCAGGTTCTAACATTTTTCCTAAAATTAAATCAAATTAAAGGATGAGAATACGTTCAGCCTAATACTTATGTCGATCGTGTGAGCATAATCATTAATTGTCTAACTCTATTTGCAATTGCGCGAATATCACTCGGTTCTGTTTTTTAAAAATCAGAAGTCCTCTCAGACTATCATAAACAATAGCTTAATTAGAAAACGTGTTATTTATATTATGATCTTATTCACTTGTATAGACTGCATTTAACCTATGCGTTACTACCTTCATGTACTATCAGTATATTCAAAATCGAATTCCAAATTTGTATATTTGATATGCAATTAACACTAATTCCGATGCAGTACATTGATTATATTAAACATTTGGCACTCTGGTTGATCAGCTCTCACAATAAATATTAAAAATACAAATTGAAGATGATGATTTACCTAAAGGACCCTTAGATTTCCAGAGGCCTTTGAGGAGGGTGGGGTCACCGCGGCGCCAGTCGCGCCACCCCCGACCCCGGCGGATGGGCCTGGTGGATGATCCAGTCCCGATAGACCTTATATCGCCTGTGGTGACGCCACTAACGCTCAGAGATCCGCCAATCCCGCCGACAACACCAGCCATTCCGATGGTCCCGCCACCCGGGGCACCAGGACCGCCAGGGCCTCCAAGCAGGCCTGCAGGTCCACCACCACCGCCAGCGCCACCGCCAATGCCGCCAATGATGCCGATTCCACCACCACCGGGGCCTGGGGTGCTCGGCGAGCCGGGCTGCGGCTGCCCGTGTGCCCCCGCTCCACCGCCAGCCTGCGGCAATGGCAGTCCCACCACTAGGTTCCAGTTTCCGCCACGATGAGGTAGCACCATCAACAACGATACCCATACCACCGTCGACACATAGAAATATTAGCAAGGGCACTGGATTATAGAGCGAATTCTGTTTTTTTTTTAAATGTCTTATAATGTTAATCTTTTATTTTTTTTACATTATACGCAGTTTGTTTCTATGTACAAGCTACAGTGTTTCAAAACCTCTTTCGAATGATCATATGTTATTGATTCCGCTTTGTTAAACTTGCTATATCAATGGCGGAAACCATTATTTATCGTAAAGAAGTTTTGGAATGTATCAATAAATGATCAATGCATTTGCAGATAACTGCATTGTAAGATTATGTCCGAATTAGTTAGAAATGAGCCCAAAATTATACCTTAAATATGTAGTATGAAGTCGCTATAGTAATACAAAACTATTACATTCTCTTTCATTTTCAACCGTTACCACAATGATACAAAAGAACTGCAAAAATTTCCAATCAATTTTCTTTTAATGTTCTTTTAATCAATTTAATTACCTTTTAAGCTTAACGTAAGTAAAACCTTGAATCATCGAAAATATTACGTATTTGAACTTAATGCAAGAGTTTTATTTAACTGAATATCAATACCATTTTTCTCATAAGTCAAACAACTGTTAATATTGCTAATACATACGTAATCATTAATAAACGAAGAAAGAATTTGTTGGAAACAAGAAAAAATGTTATATAAAAGTCGAAAATGAAATCATTGTTAGAAAATTATGAGCGAAATATTAAATGCAGCATGAAATAGGTAACAACGGATTATTAACCTAGCGGTTTCTTACGATTCCAAAGAGTCGTTTCTCAATATATCTATATTTTATGTGAGTTCCAGGCAAATATCAGTGGATTTCTAATAATCGAAATCTTCGTTGAAGAGTTTATTTTCGTGAAGAGCGTCGTGTACAATTCTCATGCTACTAACTATTGTAGAAAACTTAGAGGCTTCGTGCGGTTCCATGTAGAGGGATTCCTCACCCTTCTGGTATCCGGGACAGCAGCGCCTGTGCAGGCTGTTCGGGTCTATTCGGGTTCTTGTTCTAGTGCTAGACCATACTAGATTGTGACGTTTTCAGATAAAAACTCTAACCGTTGATTCTGTCTTTTGCGTATCAAGCCTTCCCAGTAGATTTCAATTAAAGAAGTCTAACAACTATTAACTATCAGCTGTCAACTATTAACTATCAACTAACTTATGAAGCCAGTCCACGTGAGAGTAAAACTCTCGAGAGTCGCCCTCGAGAGCAGTACTCGCCAATGGACATGCTCCTGAGAGTAACTCGGAGACAGTAACGTCATACTCGTCGAGCGCAGTTTCACGAGAGCTTGCTCTCAATTGAACAAATTCAAATACGCTATCTGATAGTTACTCGCAAAGGTTCGAACTGAGTTCGAATTGTGACAGTACTCTCAGATGTATGACCATGGCAAGATGCACTTGGTCGCAAGAAGATACGCGTGCATTAATCGAAGTATAAGAACAAACTCCCATGCTTTGGACTATCAAATGTGATGAGTATCGCAACAGAGATTTGAGAAATGAGGTGGTTTCTAATCGAGTTACGGTCATTCGGATGAAACTCCAAAACTGAGACGTGTCCTGTAGTTCAAATTCACGTACAAGATTATTAGTAACGCCGAATTGGGGTCTCCGTGTTACCCAGGGTTTAACCCAACAGTTCCTTTTATTTCTTTCACGTTTTTTATGTTTTTTTAAATATGCAACGCAACTATTATTGCTTGTTGTTTACGAGAAACCATCTTTGACACTACTGATGGGGCGTGACGTTCGTGAGTGCTCTCGAGTGAACGTGGTCCCGAGAGTAATTTGTGACAGTAACTCTCCGGCTACTGTCTGATCTGCTTGCGAGAGTGAAACTCACGGAAAAATACTCTCACTTGGAAACATTGGCTCATTGGCTCACTTATTTCGCGGACGCGTTTCATAGTCAAAACTGAGGGCTCATGATGCCCTCAATTGACTCCTTTTGCCCGTATTCATAGGCGTCCCTCAACTGGAGGTTGTAGTTTCCCTCCATGAAAGGCCCTCCACTTTTGAGAAACCCTTACTTCCAATCGCATTTCATAGACAGTTTTTATTGTGACCTCAGTTGAAGGAAAGCTTTCTAGGAATTTTTTTTAGATTTATGTGGTCATCCACGTAATTGATTATGCGAAGTACAATCATATGTACGTACATAATCAATGGATGAAGTTAATAAAATTGAATAAAATGATAAATGAACGTACGGTGTACTTACTTCTAGTTGTTGAAAGTTTATTATGCATTGTGTACATGGTAACAACACATCAGTTACAGTGATTTTATTAAAACAGTATCTTTTTGAAAATTTAATTTAAAAGAGTAGCGAAAACGTTATAGGAAATTTTGAAAATACAATTAAAATAATGGGTCAGTGCTAGATTACATAATAAACAAACATGTAGTGACTTATGTACTTGGTCTCAATAAACTGATATCAATACTTTTTATTAGAGGAATACACAGCACTACTGTACTTGGCGCAGTTTTTTACACGTAAGTGTTTTTTGGGGGATATCACAAGTTTTTGATGCTCAACGGGACATAGAAGCTCTAAGCACTGAAATCTATATTGTCACAGATATAAAATGTAAATGCATTATGATGTTGCTAATCAGAAAAATATATTGCGTTGTCGAAAATGTTTAATGGCATATTAATTTAATTTGTAAGTCCCTTTTTCTAGAAATGCATAAAGATATATACAAATTTTTAAAGAAAATGTAATCTTCAATGCATATAAGCGTCGTTAATGGTGTCCGGCTTGTTGAAGCCATGTGGTAAACGTAAGAGAGGGAAGTGTGCTGGATTATTTACGTACCTCAGACCGTGCGAACATCAGAGAGGATACTATAGTTTAAGCGAAGCGCCAAAGCGGCGCTTGTTGCACACTTTTCTGGACTTCTACGTCCGACACCTAGATACAAGAAACTACGGTGCGGAACGCCTTGACACCCTGAACTTCCACATCTGACACCTGGACACAGGAAACTACGGAGCGTAATACTTCGATACCCTGGACTTCCACATCTAGTACCTAGATACAAGAAACTACGGAGCGGAACCCCTGGACACCCTGGACTTTTATATGCGACACTTAGATACAAGAAACTACGGCGCGGAACACCTGGACACCCTGGACTTCCACATCCGCCACCTAGATACAGAAAACTACGGAGCGGAACACCTGCAAAAACTGTCACCTAAAATACGAGGAACTATGTCGAAGCACACATATACATACTCCCATATACGCGCGCTCCACATGAATGCTATTAGAAACTAATTAATTCTATACTGCTGTGAAAGTACCCTTATACTAACTGAAAATTCTGTGTGAACGGTAGCTTCACGTACAAAGTGTATTTAATTGTGTAGTGTATTCGAAAATTACCAACACCATCCAGAGTACAAATAGGTAAAGAAGGCAATGCAGTCAGCGCCATCTGTCGTGTAAAAAATGCGATGGACGTGCGAAGACGACGACGATGACGACGACGACGACGACGACGGACCTGAAATAAAATCATTTCGCTCGCCATGTGAATGCGTCCTGATCCTGTACACTAATCGTATTGAATTTGGTGGCAATCAATTCAGAACCCTTAATTCCTAGAGTGAATGTATCAATAAATTTTTCTCACATCAGCCGTTCATAAGATATTTGAGTCGAAACACAGGTATGTACGAGAGATGCTTCGAGTAAAGAGTCTCGGCGGGCCGTGCCCAGTACGACGGGTTGCCTGTACTTGGCGCAAGACTCGACCGAGTCTCTTGATCCAGCAGTAATATTCTGCCATTGATAATATATATAATAATTTGGTGTACATAAAGCGCTTACAAAATTTCAAAGTCGATTAGACTGCTCAATGCTACTGAGGCCGACTACTCGATGACGTTATACTATTATGGTAGCATGAACAGCAACGGCGCAGCCCGGCAACACCGTGCACACGTCACGCTTATTTCCACAATTGGCTGTCATGCGGTAGCACCTTCAACTCAGAGTTCGTCGAGCTGTTTCATACTCCCTTAAAAATATTTTTAACTTTAGCATAATGTAAATTTAATGAATTATTTACATGTTCAATTTGTATAAGGAAATACAATAGAATATTTATAAACTTTTAGACAATTACTTGCATCAACTTAATACCGCTCGTCATGACCGTCATACAAGTCTATTTAGGTATAGTAATTTTATTTGTAGGAATATTCCCACCTTTTTAATGTTTTGTATATTATATTCTTGCATACAACTTGCTCATGCCGAATTATGGGTTTCAATTATGACATCTTTTGAAAATTGTGTTCGAGTTGTCACAATTAAAGCGTCTTTAAAAAGTCGCTAATAGGGTGTGGAGAGTTAACTTGAAAGTAATTATAAGAAATGGATGCTTTTGCTAATTTTTATTACCAAACTTTTCTATAATGTCTTGGATCTTTTTTGAAAGTTCTCATAAGAATGAACGAACAACGCACCAAAGTAATATAACTTAAATAATAACATTTTCGAAGTTCCCCGAAGTATGTATTTGGAGCGGGGCCTCAGGCACATAGCTACGGGCCTGTCCCACCCCACGCGGAAAAAATATGTCGGCCGGGGACTCGGTCGCTGGGAAGGAGCTAGTGCGTCGAGAGGAATCACCGATTAGAGTGAATAAAGTATTGATTTTATTATTGTTTAAAAGTGTTCTACCGTTATTTTCTCGGCTCCCTGAATCTTCCGAAATCCCAAATGTATACTTATTGATAACATTCTAGTCTCGCTACCAAAAAATTATTGAAACTGAACTACCATCCCACGCAGCATAGAAATATTTTATCAACATTGCCAAAAATTTCCTTTGAAATAATGCAATACTGCGGAAATATAGTGAAAGTTGTTGAAAATATTTCCTGAATGTTGCAGAAACCTTGCAAT